CGGTATCTTGTCGAAATGTGGTAATGACTTGTCTAAACTCTTTCTTATAATGTAAAACAGAAGTGTTATATTATCCAAAATCGATGTTTTCTTGTAAAAATAAAAAATCTTATTATGTCTAATAATTGTGTAAATTTGTTCAAATTTAGTTCTGTCTTGAGAAAGCGCTGTCTGATTTTGTTAAACTGTCCGGTTATTTTTGCTCTATCTTTTCACACAAGTCAAAATAGCGTTTAACAGTTCATAACCATAATTTGTAAAGATACCACCATCATTTCACATAATAAGACGGTGTTTAGGCCTGTTAACATTAAGTTCGGATAAAACAGCATGGCGATCTGAGAAAATAAGGCAGTGTTTAGACATGTCAATACAATCTTTCAACAAGTCAACAATACAGTTTGACATAATAAAATAACGTTTACATAAACAAACAAAATTTATTGGCAAGTCAACATTAGTATTTCACATAATAAGTATATTTGTAGACAGGATAACAACAGTTTTAGACAAGAAAGCATGGTGTTTTGGCACAATAAGACAGAATAACACCACCTCATTCAAAGCAACATAACAGTTTGACAAAATAGGACAGCACTCAGCCAGGTCAATATAACGGTTGAACAAGATATCACTACTAGCCGACATAATAAGACATGAGTTTGACAAGTTGGCACCAAGTTCCGATAAGATAACACTAGTACTGTTTCACATTATAAGCCAATTTCTAGACAAATTACCACCACAGTTGGACAAGACAAAACGACAGTTCAACGTAATACAACAGTGTCATAACATACCAGGATCACATTTGGACAAAATGACACCAACTTCCGACAAGATAACACTACTGTTTCACATGATTAGACATTTTTAAGACAATTCAACACCACATTTAAACAAGTCTGTGTTCAGACATATTGAAATCTTAATTCGAAAAGATGGCGTGCATGTTAGACATATTAAGACTTCCATTCGGCATGTTTACATGATTGTATGACGTTTTGAAATAATAAGACAGTGTTTAGACAAGTCAGCACTACGTTTTGACAAGATAAAATGAATATTTGACTTAATAAGACTTCGTTAAGACAGGTTCTCATAAAACGTTGGCAAGCCAACACTTCTATTATACACAATAAGACGCTTTTAGGGGAAAATAAAACGAAATGTAACATTATGAGGCAGCTATGGCGTTCCATATTAAAATGTCTAAATGACAGTATACTATTTGAACAGTTTGGATCTTATTCTTATCATTGTTGATTTCATTCTAGAAAAGTAAAATGCCAACAACAGGAATATTCATCGACCAGAGATTGTGACAATAAAACAGTAAATCAAAACATTCAAAAGATACTATACTTAAGGTATAAAGACTCGACAACTTCTAATGAAGAGTTGCTTTTCTGGTATTTCGAAACATCTTTATTACCATAGAAAATGTAACCACCGCAGGACATATATGTATATGAAATATTATATATGGATATCAGAAGCTCTTGAGTGTTTTGCCCGTTTGCCCGGGAATGATAACTTTATTCACTATAAATTCACAATTCAATCTGACTTATATGAGCTAAGTGTACTAGGCAACGGATAAAGTATGTGATAGTGTTACTGTATGAAAAACATTTAAGAACATCATGTACATTTAAATTTAAGCACTTACCAGGAAAAGTTAAAACAGGACAATTACAAATTACTCTTTAAGTACTATACTATAATGTAAAAAAAAACGAAATAGTTTATGACATCACAATAGTAAAGGTACACGAGACCTAAACACGACACAACCCCAACAACATATACAAGATTAGCACTACTAATAAAAAAAAGTTAGCAGAATGTGCTCACTGTCCAGGAACGGGTGATAATACTAAAGAGAATGGCTCACGTAACAAAAGAAAAGGGGATTGGGGATGGGGAAGGGAGATATAATATACATGTATACCTAAGTTTTGAATACAATATTGAATGAAGACACTGCTGGCACAAACCATATCTTATGATATAGTTATATGACAGAATAGGTTGATATATGTAGAATTTACCATCTTAAGTGTATAAGTTTTCATCAAACCTCAAGACGCGGATTTAATGTGAGCTATTAATTGAAGTAGAAATTCACATTTTGAAAAGAAGGTAATATGCGTACACTATTCTCGAATCGGACCGCTTGAACTTTTATTTAGAATCTGATGAAGTCGTCGTGTACGGCCCTCCTTTCCCTTCCCCTATCCGTTATTTTTTTTTTTTTTTTTTTTGTATGTGAGCCATTCTCTTAAGTATTATCACCGTACAGGATTAATGTCTTGTACAGGAAAAATAATAACACTAAATTCATTCTATATAAGGGAGTTAACAAGCGTTAACTTACCATTTATAGGACCTCGAGTAATGTACACTTGTCAACTAAACTTACTTATTTTGAGGGGAATCTTTGCTTTCATAAAACAACACTACTGTCGATAGGAACGAGATATAGTTGTTGCTTTTTTTTGTCTAATTTATGCATAGTTATAAATAACAATGTGTCATTATGAAAGAAATAACAGTTACTGTATTTCTCCAAACATGATCGAACCTTGTAGAAATTTTAGCAATAATTAATCTTCGAGAAATAGTGGTTATATAATAATAATAATAATAATAATAATAATAATAATAATAATAATAATATATGACTGAAATACTGCTGTGAAAAGGCGTAAAATGAAACAAACAAACAAACAATTACTTGTCTTACAGTATGGACTGTACGAAAATAACTATCATGTTACGTAGTATGCTTTGATATTAGAATGTCGTCTCCAAGAGCTAAATTAATTTTGTTGATGTCATAACGGTCGTGGATTTTCTTGATTTCATTTTGTTTGTATAAATAAAGGTCCTGACTTTTGTTTGGATCATAACGAACCTGTCTTTTGTTTGTTTTCTGAACAACTAGGTAGATTTCCTCTGTATATTGAAAGATATGTTAGGATAGCAAAGTATTGGTTAAAGTTACACGGCGATAAAAGTCAAAACTGCATTTTATCAACTATTTTAAGTTCTCAAAGAAATGATCTACTAGTATCAAATAACTCAAATGTTATCATTTGGTCGTCAAAAGTTCGAGACATGTTACAAAACGCTGGATTTGCTAAAGCATGTCGGTTAATATTAAAAGTTTTATAACAGTATTCAGATCACGTCTCATGGACATATATGTAACCCAATGGCGAGTAGACATGGCGTTATGCTCTTCCTTGCAATTGTATCCCAAAGTTAAAGGTAAATTTGAAAGGTCTATAAATCATGTACGTCCAGGGATATAGAGGATGAATTTCATTTTATATTAATATGTCCAATTTATAGCGATTTTAGAAGTATGTATATTTCAAGATACTTTACTGTAAATCCTAGTATTTACAAATTCATACAATTAGAAAATTTGCAATATTTTGTATTAAAGCATTTGAAAGACGAGACAATTTGGTAGATTAGCATATCAATGTGATATTATTAATGTAGTTATACGACTATACCCCCAGCAGAGCTATTCAAAAAGTGTCTTCTTACGTCTGTAAGAAGACACTTTTGAACAACCGTTACTTTCCTAGTAGGTTTAATACTGTATGGTGTCCTGCTTGGGCCAGTTAAAGACTCTTCTTGATATGTTATATTTCTTTCCTATAGCCTTGCCCCGCCTCTCTGTACATCTATAGAAAAAGTAGCAAGATTTTACATTCTCGCAAGAAACTTTTCGCGCCATTGAACGTTGAAATTGTCTCATGCTTATATTTTCTCATACTTAAATCCTCGTGCGAATCAAAATGTTAAAATCTTGGCGATAATTAACCTTAATTTTCGCATGTTTTTTGCCTGAACTTAAACCTATTTACAGTACCAGTGTCTATAGAAAGAGAATGTTAAATCTCGCTACTTATCTATTAACAAGAGTCAATGCGCTCGACTGTTCTCAGTGCTTGATAGTAAAACAAGAGCCTGAATAATGTATAATTTTTTTAAGTTCAAAGGGCCATAGTTCTGTCAAAATTCATATTTACAATGGCTCTTCTACTTTTCGAATAGTCGAGCGTAAACAAGAGATTTAGTCAATCTTAAATCGTAACAGGGCTACCATTGACGAAACTAACAATAGTTCGTTGAATGATGTTAAAACTCTTTCATATATTTTTTTTGGTTATAAAAAGCAACAACATTACCATGACATTTACTCACAAAAAATCATCAGCCATATCCAGCTGAAAATTTTGTTAAAGGCTATGCAAATATTTTCTATAGTTTTATATTTTCAACGTGAACATACATTTAGTTTCAATAATTAAATGGGTTTATTAATTTATCTGTTCTTTACACTTAAACGTCAAATAAGTCGGATACAGTTACTTGTATTTTCTTCGAATTTGTCTTCTTACAGACGTAAAGAAGACAGTTCGCTAGGACAACAACAATTTATCCTCGGCTTCGCCTCGGACAATGTGTTGTTTATCCTAGCAATCTGTAAGAAGACACTTTCGAAGAAAAACTCGTACTGTATTCATTACTAATTTAATTTGGCATTCTCAATCACCTTGTTTAACTATGTCATGTTTAAATATTTGAATAAAACTGATTGAATTTATTACAACATAATTTCTTGATGCATGCATTGTAATAATTATACATGGATGATGGGTGTTGAGCCCAAGTCAGAAATAAAGTATATGTTCTGTTCTTTAATAGTCTGATTTTTTTCCATATCATTATGGTCCTGGGTTTTGTTGTTACCAATAATGGTCTTGGTTTCTATTGTTATCAGGATATCAAAACCCAGGACTCGTGTACTTAAAACTGGTTAGATGTTGCCTTCATATTTGTGTATCATAAATGCGGTTATCTTGTAACACATTCTAGAAGATAATATGTTAATTATATTATAAGATAAACGTCATAGTATTTACAGAAATACAAACGATTTTAGTTTGTGGCGCAAAATAACTGGAATATAAATAGATTGTTAAAACAGTTTTATTGCATAAATGTTATGCGTATACATAGTGAAAATAATGACTTAAAAAGAATGATGAACACAAAATAATGAAAAGAAACAATAAATACGATTTATTTACAAATGACATTGTAAGTACTAATTAATGGATTAAATCGCGACAACGTTTCCCGTGTCATATGGTTTACGTACAAGCGGGTATTGTCCTTTTCTTGACCGCTGTCCAGTGACTGATCGGTTATAATGGGAATATGCGGCCGTTCGTCCGAGGCACAAACTTACAAAATGATAAATATTTAGCTGCAATTTCTTTTGATAAAACATATTTCTCGTGTTAATATCACATATTGAAGACACAAATTGAAGGCACATATTGGTATCTTTGAACACGAATGTTTCATCTAACCTCTCCTGTGGTATTTTCTCTGGATTTCTCCTTTACATTCAGCGCGCAACTGTCGTGATCTTAATCGATTACACCGGCGTCTGTCGTTCAAATATACAGTTCTTAGTGTGCAGGCCTTCTCAAAGTACTTAGAGTACATGATCGAGCACTTACTTATTTTGAATGCCAGGTCCCATAATTCTTTATCATTTACATTAGGAACAATTCTAGACATATGTACACGGTTTGATAAGGACTCAAAGAAGTCCGTATCTGCAATGCATGACACGCGCTTTTTCGCAGCTCTTTCGCCAACTCTTTTACACGATCTTGCAGAGGCTTCAAACTTTTCATTGCTTTCTGATGCCAAATCAGCCTCTTGCTTGTTTAGAATCTTCGCTTTTTCCAGATAATGTGGATCTACAGCATAAACTGGAAAATAGAAATAACAGGACATTAAGTTAATGAAAACATGCAACTACAAGTATACGTTTACAAGTACATGCAGTTTACCTATACGCGCGCATTTTCAGGTAAATTTGCGCGAGCGCGTTTTTGCGTAAGTCAATCTTTTACATCATAGCGTTTCAATATTTTACTCATTATATTTAATGCTTAAAAAGTACTGCACGAAGTTACTGTGCACACAGCAAAACATTTTTTTTGCAAAATATTATCATCATCATCATCATTATTATTATTATTATTATTATTATTATTATTATTATTATTATTATTATTATTATTATTATTATTATTATTATTATTGCTTTTTATGAATTTATACCTGCATTTGATTCTTTTGTTAAATAACTGCGCAAAATTATTCTACGCCTTAAAGATTTGATCTAAACCAGAACAAAATAATGGGGATGTAATATAGGTCAGATATCAGCTGTTTTGATTGCACGTGTTCAGCTCGTGAAGTTCTGCGTTCTATGTGATCTTGAATATTTTTCAGACATTCCTGAACATTTTCCAGAAAATTTATTACATGTTATAGATGAGAGATTTATCTGAATATTTTTGTAAATTTTTCCCAGCAGCGTTCATCTGAATTTTGAAGGCATTTTAACGAGACATTTCAACAATACTAAAGTCAAGCGGTAGAAATTCGTTTTTAAAGTAAAAGGTATTCTCACTATTTTGGTTCACTACATTGCAATACAATTTCTTTACTGAATATATCCATGCAAATTTCTTGATAACGTAATTAATGAAAGATATGCAGCGTACCCCTAGTGCAGGCCAAGTTATCAAATATATAGTCAAACAGGGAACATCTTTAATTTTAATTCATTTTCTTAATTCTGGGTTCGAAAAAAATCTATTTGTCTTTTAGAAAAAGAATTACATCATTTACATTTAGCATTTTCACTCTAAATATTTGATATTAAAATTTACGTGTCTTTTACTTGTGTCAGTGTAATCTATGCATTATTGTATTATACTAAAGATTTACTAATATTAATTATTAAAATCTTGGTATAAAGATGATAAAAGAAAATTACGAAAACTTTCGTGTTACTTACCTGCATTAATAAAAAATATGCTTGCCACACAGGCTATCCAAATACATGCTCTCACGTCCATATCCTTCTTCCTGATAGATATAAATTATTTATTCCAAAATTATTTTACTTCAAATGTTCGTAGCCTTGAAAAGTTTTGTTACAATAAAAATCTATAAATAATCCCTCCAAGTGAGAATTGGGGTTCTCCCGTCAACTTATTTTATATAGTAAGTTTATTTAAGCAATCCCAACAGAAACTGAATTTACAGCTTATTACTTCAATACTAATTGTGGACCCGTTTAAATAACCTGCCTTAAATACGCGAGATGACACTACATTAGTCAGCCGACTAAATCGTACGATCATAGGCCTTTCAATTAAGCTACGTTTGTTATCACCTTTCCATTAAATTACCCTTTATATAGGCCTCGGATAGCTATAATACAATATTTAATCTGAATATAATCTACCAATTTAGATAGCTCGGGTTGTTTTGTGGTGTAAACAAACTTTTAAGTAGGTTTTAATGTCAAGTTAGTTGGTAACCCACATTACTAATTATATATTATCTATCTATTGGTATATTATCTATCTATTGACTGACATTCTTTCTCTGATATCAAGTCTTCAATACAAGTAAAAAAAAAAGAAAAGTTAACTGTTTTAAATTTTGTAAATATTTATGTTTTTAATGACTCTACGCGCGGTCTATTCATGCATGATTAAATTAAAATCAGGCGAGTTACCACGCGAGTTAACTCTTCATTTTGATTGGCTTGCAGAGCTTACTGTAGCATAAATATTATGTGCTGCACCCTCGCTTTTGTATACCTTTGTTGATTTGCTATCCGGCTAAATTTAGGGAAGCAAAACATTGTATGCTATTTCAAAATCTCATGATCGCATTAAGAGTTAGCAGGTGTGGTCGAACCACAAAAATGTCTTCCGTTACTTTTACAAAATATTTATATTTGTTTTCATTATTCTAAACAAGCAACGTGACCTTCTACTATTTGCCAAGTATGGTATTAACTTACTTTTAATAATCACTGTCACCTCGCCGGACATTTTTGTTCTATTGTAAACCAGCGTAACTTTTTTGAGGTATTTTTTAGCAAATATTTTTAAGATAACTTCTATATACAATGTATTTTTTACCGTAGAGTTTCAAATAATTAACAAGCTTTAATTATCGCTTACAATATATCACTATCTTATAATAATAATAATCGCCACGTACATAGCTTAAAATATGTAACATTACATAGCTTAAGCCTTTAAATATGTAATGCTACAGAGCTTTAAATATGTAATGCTACAGAGCTTTAAAATGTAATACTACGAAGCTTTAATTTTAATTACATTCATGATGTAGAGCTTAAGATATCAGTACCTCAGTATTAAAGCTTTGAATAACAATACGGCCATTAGATATCAAGTATGACCGAAAAGCCACTCTTGAATTAAATTTCACCGGAGCGTGTGTTTTTTTTTCTTCTCACCAGAAAAAGCCTTTGCGATGTCACTAAGATGCTTTTGATACCAACTAAGAGCTTAAAATGCCAGCGAGACATTGAGTAAAATTTAAATGGTGTACTGTATGTCCGTAAGCTCGAAATTTAGTAAAATATGAATGTGTACTGAATATCCGTCAGCTCGACATTTAGTAAAATTTGAATGGTGTACTGTATGCCCGTCAGCTCGACATTTAGTAAAATTTGAATGGTGTACTGAATGTCCGTCAGCTCGATATCTAATAAAATTTGAATGGTGCACTGTATGTCCGTCAGCTCGACATTTAGTAAAATTTAGATGGTGCACTGTATGTCCGTCAGCTCGACATTTAGTAAAATGTGAAAAGTGTACTGTATGTCCGAAAGCTCGACATTAAGTAAAATGTGAATGTGTACTGAATGTCCGTTAGCTCGACATTGAGACGAATTTAAATGGTGTACTGTATGTCCGTCAGCTCGACATTTAGTAAAATGTGAATGTGCACTGAATATCCGTCAGCCCGAAATTGAGTAAAATTTGAATGGTGTACTGTATGCCCGTCAGCTCGATATTTGGTAAAATTTGAATGGTGTACTGAATGTCCGTCAGCTCGATATTGAGTAAAATGTGAATGGTGTACTGAATGATCGTCAGCTCGACATTTAGTTAAATGTGAATGGTGCACCGAATGTCCGTCAGCTCGACATTTAGTTAAATGTGAATGATGTACTGTATGTCCGTCAGCTCGACATTGAGAAAATTTGAATGTGTACTGAATATCCGTCAGCTCGACATTTAGTAAAATGTGAATGTGTACTGAATGTCCGTCAGCTCGACATTTAGTAAAATTTGAATTGTGTACTGAATGTCCGTCAGCTCGACATTTAGTAAAATGTGAATGGTGTATTGTATGTCCATCAGCTCGACATTGAGTAAAATTTGAATGTTATGCAGAACATCTTGTCGCCTCGACATTTTTAAAATTTTGGAGGTTGCGCTACATGCTAGCTGCTACTCATTTGGGATTTTTAGTTAAAATGAATGCTGTGCTGAATGACTTGGTATCTTTACATTCGGTACATCTTGAATATTTGCAACATATGCCAAACCAGCTAGATAATTGATGGATTTTAGTATTGTGATAAACGTCCTGCCAGCTTGATATATCGAGACATCACATCTCAGCTCGACATTAAGTTGTGTAATGTTGTGCCATTTAATTTTAGTGTTGAATGTCGAGCCAGTATTACATCTCAGTTGGATATTCACTATATGTAGAGTGTTGAGATGAAATCCATGTTGTACATGTTGAATTGTAAGCTAACTATTGTACTGAATGACATGTAAGCTTGGCACTCGGTGCTGAATGTCGAGCCAGATTCTCATCTTATCGAAACATTAAATTGTGCTGAATGCTGTGCTGATTTGCGTACAATAGCGTTCTTCAAAACAATCATACAAAGGCGGGAAGCGTTTGTATCTGCACTCATTCAATAATTTTTTGTTGTGTCTGTTATATAAAATTACCATTCGATTGTGTCTGTTTCTTGAAATAAACATTTCATGAAATCTGTTATATGAAATACACATTTCATGAAGTTTGTTGTATAAAATAAACATTTCATGAGGTCAGTTATATTAAATAAATATTTCATGAGACTTATTGTATAAAATAAACATTTCATGAGTTTTATTGTATAAAATAAACATTTTATGAGGTCTGTTGTATAAAATAAACATTTGATGAGGTATGTTGTATAAAATAAACATTTGATGAGATCTGTTGTATAAAATAAACATTTTATGAGGTCTGTTGTATAAAATAAACATTCCTTGAGGTCTGTTGTATGAAATAAACATTTCATGAGGTCTGTTGTATAAAATAAACATTTCATGAGGTCTGTTGTATAAAATAAACATTTTATGAGGTCTGTTGTATAAAATAAACATTTGATGAGGTCTGTTGTATAAAATAAACATTTTATGAGGTCTGTTGTATAAAATAAACATTTTATGAGGTCTGTTGTATAAAATAAACATTTTATGAGGTCTGTTGTATAAAATAAACATTCCTTGAGGACTGTTGTATGAAATAAACATTTTATGAGGTCTGTTGTATAAAATAAACATTTGATGAGATCTGTTGTATAAAATAAACATTTTATGAGGTCTGTTGTATAAAATAAACATTCCTTGAGGACTGTTGTATGAAATAAACTCTGTTTGAGGTATGTTGTATGAAATAAACATTTCATATGGTCTGTTACATAAAATTTTGAAATTTTATTCATATCACAGACATCGTTACACACTGATACATGGTCACATTTGATGACAATCCTTGTAAGAGGATGGACAACATTTTAGTAACACTCCTAATAAAAGGCTTGTATAACATCATCTCTATCAGGTCTTTGTGTCCGAGTATCTAGCTTAAATACATTCAATAGATATAGAAATTGATAAAGTAAGACTGTTTAGATACGGTATCTTCAATAACGAATTTTGCGTTATAATGTACCATCTTCATAAAAAGACATAATCGAAAAAGCCAGAGTCCTTATAATGAACTTTAACCTATAAATTTACCATGTCGACAGGTTTTGAAATACATCTTTTCTCACATTATCAGACTAGCTTCGCGCGTCTACAGACTGGTATGATTGTAGCTAGTTTTCACGTGATCCTTGCTTCCGCTTCCGGGCACGTGCAACTTGACAGCTGAGATCTCTTCTTTGGTGAAAAACACTTAAAGTATCGAATATTTCCGTCAATAATGTCACGCAGTAATTGGAAACTGCACATTAACTTAACCATATGATATTTTGTTGCAGACCAGAAAGGAAAGAATATGCGTCATGACAATTGACCTGCCAGCTACTGGTATATACAACAACCACTAATATCTAGCAAAGCTAGTTAAAGATTGTTAAAATGAAAGATAATCGGCTAGTTAAAAAGTGTTATCTTATGCTTATGAATTTGGATGAAAAAGGTCAAAACAACTGGGCCACCGAAATTAAAAACTTACTTTTAAGAAACGGCTTTGGATACATATGGCAAAATCAGTGTGTTTCAAATGAAATTTTTTTTATACATACGTTCACACAAAGATTAAAAGACCAATTTCTCCAAGAATGGTCGTCAAAAAATACACATTAGTTCAAAAACTACAGTGTTATGCTAACTTTAAAACAAACTTTGGACACGAAAAATATTTGGAAATTGTAAAAAATAAGAAAATTTAGAAGTGCATTAGCCAAAGTAAAGATTTCAAATCATGCCTTAAATATAGAAAAAGGAAGATATAGAAAACATAATAGAGAAGAAAGAGTGTGCGAACTTTGTCAAGAAGACCAATGTATTGAAACAGAATATCACTTTGTTCTTGTTTGCAATTCATATAGCTCTCTAAGGAAGCTATATATTCCTAGAAAATATTGGGTTTCACCATCAATTAAACAAGTTTAACATACTCATGAATACTGACTCAGAAATCGCTGTTGTTAAATTTTAGCTAAATTCATATTTTATGGTCTACAATATAGATCTGAACATATTGGTTAAATTAATTTCTAACCAATATTTATATGACATTTTACTTTAAATGTAAATGAAGTTAAACTCACATAACACATACTAAAATAGATACAATTAAAGTGTCGGTTTCTTCATTTGAAGGAACATTTATGCTTTATTTATACATTGTTAGCAAACGTGTGCAAATCATTAATGCCAATATGATTAAATTCTACATTAAGTCTATTATTGTTGATTCAAATTTTCAATGTATACATTTGAGTTTGCGATAAACTACGTTTTAACATGTTTTGCCTTACATTTTGTTTCGGATAAGGTTAAACTGTTGAAAATGTATAAATTTAATTCTCAATTACAATTTCTATTTCAGACAAAACTTTATAGAAAGATTTTTTTTCTATTAAAATAGCAGTGAATTTTGATGATATACATGTATTACTGTATTTGACTATTACCATAATACTTTAACACTGTTTTGTACATATGTAAACAAAAACTTGTA